TTTGTAACCGGAAAATTTTATTACCAAAAAATGTTACCTGTTCTTGTCACCGCGATTCTAGGTACATTGGTAATGCAGTTAAAATATTTAGCGATTCAGCTATGAAGAACTGTGCAAATTCTGGCATTGCATATTTCACGGGGCAATACTTTGTTACCAGCTTATGAGATGGTAACAAAAATTACCGGATACAAGAGTACACAGAATGCGAAAAGGGTTTAAAAATTGACAGGAACTTTATTTACCGGTTACAAACTTTTTATTACCAGCGCAGAATAGACCTGTTAATCTCCTGTAGCGTAACCATGGCTAAGTTACAAAGCCACTTGCACCGATTAACGATTTAACGTATTATTTTCGTTGTCATTGAACTTTTGTTATTTTTTTATAAAAAATTTGTTCATTCTTTAACAAAACCCGTGTAAATCCAAGTTTCCGAATTTGTGCAATTTAAAAAAAAATCAACAAATTTTCGTGGAAATTTCCAACTTTTTAAAAATTTTATTAAATTTAATTTAATTAATTAAAAAAATATATCTTTCTTTTAATCAAAGTATGTTGAAATAAAAGTGAAATTAAAAAAAATTTGCTCACCGACACCTTTTATAATTGGAATAAAAATATTTCCAAATGGGAGAATTTTCTTCTCAGTAAATAGGCCCTTTCAAGGACATAAATTCATTAGGTTAGTTTTTGGGTGACCCTAATATACATACAAACAATATAAGATTATGACTTTAGCACATACATAGTAATAACAGACGAGTTCTGGTGTTCTCGTACATTTGCATGCACTTATTTGTATACAGTGCTTGTCATAACAATGCGACTCCGACATATTGACAAGTTTTGGAAATTCGCTTGTTTATTTATTTTTCGGCTAGATCTACAATGAACAACATCTTTAACCGAATTCAAAAAAAAGGCGGAAAGTTATCAATTCATCGAAGTTTTTTTTATGTATATTACTGCATAACTGTGGACCACGTGAGCCCTTTTCGATTATTCTTTTTTTTATAGGAAAGGTGATACCTTCAGGGTGGTCCCACACTAGTTTCGTTTATTTCGAATCATTGTAAGGAATTAACGGTACTTCTAAATCTTTATATGAGGATTTTTTGCATTAAAAAAATACTTGTTATAAAAAAATAACGAAAACATTTTAACTTGAAGAACATTGTGAATATTCGGAATAAACATCAGCACATGAGCACTTGTTTGAGTCACTGTGCTATACAACATATTGACAAGTTTTGACTCTTTATTTTTTATTGTTTTTTATACACAATATAGTTCCATTGTATAACAAAACCCTATAAATCCAAGTTTCAAACGTTGTACAAAAATTTACAATCAGCAAAGTTTTAATTTTGGTATCGGTTTATATCCGTTCACTTGGTTATCCGGATATCTGGATAGTCTAAACCAGTGATTCCCAAAGTGGTCCAGGTGGACCCCCAGGGGTCCACGGAAGCCTCGACGGGGGTCCACGGTGATGTGAAAAAAAATATGGGGGTCCATGAGTTGTAAATAGGGGTCCACGGAGTTTTATCTGGTTTCGATATAAAGAACCAAAATGGTTCCTTGATAGCCTCTTTATTTAACTTAAATTTTTTTAGTGGTGTATAGTGCTCTTGAGGCATTGCTGCACTTACCGTCACTTTGTGTTTTCAAACGTGGGGATGCCTTAATGGCCACCTGCAGACTAAAAAGAACCGGACGCTGGTATGACAATGAGTGGGGCGCGGCGAAAATTGCTGGCGGCAGAGATTTAAGCACTTGTGTCTTTTTAATGCTACAGGATAGTACGCCTTTATTGAAGAGATTCTATAATGTTGAGTTGCTTGAGACTGAATGCTGGTTTGATTCCATCGCTGAGACCGGACTCATACATTGTCGATTCTTCACTGATGACTCCAAAACTGACTATGGGTCTTGATCTGGGGTCTTTTTCGAGTTTAATGGAGATAAGCTTCACTTTTCTGTAGGGGAATATGCTTCGGACTTCCAGGCTGAGGTAATTGCATTACTCAAAGCCATGGACTAAGGGTGGAGGGGAAGGAGGTTACGTGACTGCAGTGACAACCAAGCTGCACTTAAGGCATTGACCAGCCCTGTATTTAAGTACTTCCGAACTAGTTCGGCAATGCAAGTCTCGACTAAAATATGATGGTGAACATAACGAGGTTGTTTTACTCTGGGGCCAGAGTTGGCTCAGACCAGGCATTCCGCCGTCCGCAACCAGTGTGAACACTCCCACCTTCGGCAACCGAAGCCAACATCAGAAACTGGATGAATACTTCGCTCAGAAATGGCTGAGAGGCATCGAGGGGATGCAGGTGGGCAAAACTCATGTTGCCTTCAATCTCACAAGGTTTATCTAATTTTTTGCTCTCACTGAGCAGACGACACTGCAGACAACTTGCTGGACTGCTGATTGGTCACTACGCGGAACAAACACCTGACTGTGATAGGCGTAAATGACAAGTCCATTTTCCCATCTTGCCTTGAAGAAGATGAGACGGTGGAACACTTTTTGTGCTTCTTGCTTGCTTGTTTATTTGTCATCGACTTTTTTAAACTCGTTATTATCTCTATTGTCAGTTTCTGAATTAAAAGTTTGGCGTAAAAAGCGTAACCGTTTTGATGTTTTAAGTTTTGTGTTTTAAAAATGTGACAAATATTTTTCGCCTCACTTTAAAACTCGGAGCGATAAAAATAAAAATGATGCCATTAACACAAATAAACTATTTTACATATACTCCACGTGCAAAGTCATGAGAGAGGCGAACATTTGATGAGTTTATAGTGAAGATAATGTAAATAACGCTAGCGATCGCAGTGCTCGTAAAAAATATAACTCTTCCGAGCGAGAGAGTATTTTGATGTATTTACGAGCTCTATTTTTTTTTAAATCTACAAGTGTGTAATCACATTATTTTTATAAATAGAACACAAGAAAATATTTTACTTTTATTTTGGTCACTCTGAGTTTAGTTTTTGAATTCACCCACCATGCAAATTTACATTGTTAGATCTAATTTTCACATTTAATTTTTTTACGGGCTTTGGGAATATTTAGAAATGTATCAGCAGGGGGTCCACCGAGACCAGTAAATTTTTGAAAGGGGTCTACGAGAAAAAATAGTTTGGGAACCTCTGGTCTAAACAGTATTTGAATTTATTCGTAAAATTGTTCTCAAAATTACTGAATCCAACAAGTTGCAAAAAAAATAATAGACTCTTTCTCAGCCCTAGTACAGGGGTCGAACAAATTATAGCCGCACCATATTTTGACAAGTTTTAACATATTATTCTTTTTGTTATTTAATTTTGGTTATTTTTTTTTATAAAAATATAGTTCATTCTTTAACAAAACCTTTGTAAATCCCAGTTTCAAACTCTGTGCAATATTAAAAAGAATTCAAGAAACTTTTGTAAAAATTTCGAGCCCTTTTATTAGATTTCTTACTGCCAAAAATTTTTATGCCCATACAATTTGTATGAAACGTCCCACAATAGCGCGGCGTTAGCGCCGAGCAAATGGAATTTTAATTTTTGACAGGGGGTTACGTGTTGAAGTTGGATGCAGAAGACGGAAAGAAAGAGAAAGGACAAAAAGTGAATGAGGAGACGAGAACAAAAACGAGAGGAAATAAGCAAAACCTCAAAAATAACGTCGCGTTGATTTAGGGATACCGCACTGACACTCGTTGACAAATAGAAAACACAACGCTCAGCGCTCCAATTTAGGGACGGCAGCCAGAAAGATTCTCAGTATACATACATACATACACTCATAGCTCTCTATACACAGTGGTTATGAGCGTACGCAGATACGGGCTAAGGAGCTACGTGGCTGTCTCCGGATCGAAAAACGAGAAACCAAATCGATCATGTTGTGATATACCTTGTTTATACCGACACATAAAGCGCTTTAACCCACTTCGCCGTGATTCAAAACGTAAGCATAAACCAAATTTCAATACGCTCAGAAATTCAAAAGTGTGTTGACTCGAATTTGTTTTCAAATCGGTTTTTTAATTCTCACATCGGTTAGAAAACAGGTATAAACGTATAATTCATTTGACGCGAAGTGAAAAAAGGCTGGCTTTCTTTATACATCCCCTTTTAAATTTGAATTATTCTTATAATAAATTCGAATTATTGTTTGCTTCCATTTCGGTCAACCGCGCGATTAGCAATTTGAAACTGGCATTTTATTCGAGAAAATAGAATCCAATGGGTTACAAAACTGCACGCTCAAAATATTTCTAAGAAATCTAATTAAAAAGATCGAAGTTATTACGAAAGTTTGTTGAATTTTTTTAAATATTATACACAGTTTTAACCTTGGATTTACTCATTTTTTGTTAAAGAATGAACTATATTTTTATAAAACAATAACTTAAATTAAATAACAAAAAAAAGTATATGTTTAAACTTGTCAATATATGGCGCGGCTATAATTTTTTCGACCACTGTGTATAGAGAGCAATGTGTGTATGTATGTATGCGTATGTAAATATTGCATTGCGTGAATGGTATAATTACGATTGCGCTCAGCCGCATTGGCGTTAACTTTAACATCAACGTTCTTGATGACGCTCTCAGCTGTTGTTTTCGAAACTTCTCAGTAAACTTTACTGCATGCGACCAATGCGAATGCATTTTGGAAAAAGTCGCTGCTGCTGCGCAAGTTAATTTCAGACTTTCTGGGGGAAAAAGCAGTCTGTCATTTTGTTATTCATTCGCATTTCCGTCCGTATTTGTATTGTACTGACATACAGATTCCTATATGCATAATACGTACATATGTAGATACCTGAATATATAGATCAGTACATACATACATATGTGTAAGCTTAGTAGTACTCGTTCATTAGTAGTTTCATTCTGAAATTGTGCACTATTTCAACGCTCAAACAAACGCCAGACTATCTGACTATAAGACTAGCCGATTGGCTGACTGGCTCGGTAGCTAGCTTAGTTTAATTCATTTCAGTTTCGGCGCAAGCAAACAGCAGGCAACCAGACCTCGCACTCAACAGTCTTCTTTAGGCAGACAAACGTGCGAGACGTCTTAACATTCTTCATGTTCCGTCGCTCATCAGTACGCGGCTTTTTACTTCCATATACTTTCCATTGATCACGGTACATACACACCTGCCAACTGGCAAGAGTCAAACGCGTTTTTAAAGCTCACTAACTGTCATACAGCAATTCAATTGACTTACGGCTGCTCTCAAATAAACAACAGATCATCAAAAAAAAAATCAGTCGACTATTTCGCCGTCATTATTTACACTATTATTACTGTTATTTATTGCGGTTAAACATTCTTGATATTGCCGAAGCAATTTTTTGTTGCTCAGCTTGGGAAAGTGTCTGAATTATAAACAGGGCATTTAAATAAAAAAAATCTACACCCTCAGAACGCAGAAAACATGAGCTCACACTGGGGTTACACCGCTGAAAATGGTAAGTCCGATCTCTACAGATCTATTAATGAATTTGTGTGAAATGTACAATTTGTACATATCGTCGGTGATACTGTAAAACGTTCCATGTCTCTTATTACCTCTGGTGCTTGACTGATCTGTTATCTGTATCTGACCGCTTCTAGCAAACGTTAGTCTTCATCAGCCAAAGATAGACAGTTTTGACATTCGTTTATTAGGGTGGAACGATTTGCAGATGCATTCCTTTGCAAGTAAGATACCATCTACATAAGTGTCAAGGGTACTAATAGACATAGACCGTTTTGGAGTATCACCGTCGATATGGAAGTAAAGCATGTACTTAAGGCAAACAATCAGAAGCTTGCTTATTGGAAGAAAGGCAAAAGTCTGAAGCATTCGCTCACACGTTATCTTACATGTCGCGCCCGTCGCGTGCGATTGTGCAAAGTGATTATAATTTGTACGCTCAATAGCTAGTCGGCGCATAATGCACGCTGCAATGCCGCCGATTTCACTTCTATGGCATTAAACGCCCGATCATTGCATAAACCCGACTTGGGAGCGTATATATGTATGTATGTATATTTATTGCATGTGCTTAAATGTTTTTGTAAGCATACATACATATGTATGTATATGGATATGTTCATATGCATGCATATTAGGGAGGGTCACTAAGAATACTACATATCGACACCTGAGTGGAAGATCGACCTATCTCGGCAGCCAGTTCGAAGACGCCCTTCTCAGAAAACTTTTCAAGAACGCCCTATTTCAGAATTTGGTTGAAGAACGCCCTATTTCAGAATTTGGTTGAAGAATGCCCTATTTTAGAATTTGATTCAAAAACGCCCTATCTCAGAATTTGGTTCAATACGCCCTATCTCAACTTAAAATATATTGAAAAGTTTGAGAATTTTTCTGAGATAGGGCGTTTTCGTACTGGCTGCCGAGATAGGTCGGTCTTCCTCCCAGCTGACGATATGTTAGGGAAACTGCTTGTGGTTAAACGATTTTAAAAAATTCGTTCAAGTTGTTTGCTAGATATGACTGCACAAGGCCGCAATTTGGAGCCCTACTCTAAAGTAAAACTCCACTCCAAGCCCTTTAGAAGTTATGGCTTTCAGCGCTCGCGCCGACATATGCAACTTATAGCTGAATAAAGTTCTAAAAGCCTGAAAAGTGTGGAGCGTCTAAAATGCCTTTTGCGGAGCTCTACTCTAACCGCTTAAGCGATTTTGCTCGGCTCAACATATCACACCAGTCTTTTCTCTTATGTGCTAAGTGTAATAATAATATTAGATTGGCGCTTAAACATACATACATACAAATGTTAGTGTTTGACCGAGGTTCTCCTCCGATTTGTGGCGTGCGCCATGATGTTGTCACACAAATGGGAGGAGCCTAAAATTTTATGCCGACTACTAACGACGATTGCAGTTTTATGAGAAGCTGTTTTTCATGTCCGAATATACAGAAGTTGGCCATTGCCTGCCGAGGGGCGATCAATATTAGAAAGCACTTTTCTGTTTTTTATTTTTTGATGTTGGGTTGAACTACGCTTGAAACCAGGCCCTGCGCTATGGTAGTGCGCCCTTCTAACCGCTGAACAACAGCGGCCACCTAAACCAACTGGTGCCAATCAGAAATTCCAATTGAAGCCAAGTGCTTCTCCATCTGATTTCGGAATGGTGGTGGTCTTCCTATTGCTCTGCCACTTTCATGGCTGGAGCATTTGCATCATTCCGTACGACATGACCTATCCATCACATACGCTGTATTTATATGATGAGAGACTTATAAAGTGTGATTTTCGTTCGTAGAGAGGACTGTAGTTTTACTACTATATACCGTCGTGAGTTAAAAAACCGTACCCGCCTAATGTGAACCCATATATGTATGTGCTAACATGTTGTAGGTGAATAAATCTCGTGACTAAAAGTGTGGTCGGCAATGACTGCAACCTTTGCTTCCGTTTCTATTGACTTTTAGAATAAGTTTAAGCGGTGCTTTACAGGTGTTATATACATACATACATATATACATACATACACACTTAGACGAAATATAAAAAAGGAATACAGTTACAAAATTCTTATTAATTAGTTAAGCAGACAAAAGAAAAGTTCAAGATTATATATCGCACACGTTCTTAGAAAGTGCATTAACTAAAATATTTTACATAATTTGGCAGAAAATGATGTGGTTTTCTTTCCAACAAATATTCCGCTCTTGATGGAAGGTTAATGTACATTTGGCGGAGTCATGTCAGAAATGCACGCAGAGGTTTGCCATTGCATGCCGGGGTTTCAACATAACATCCAGGGAACAGTGACATAAGTTCCATGGAAGTTATGTCAAGAAATTATCTTTTGGGTTGTTCACACTTGCCAGGTTATTCTTTATCTGGTTAAAAATTATTATTCTGTAGTGTATGTTATTGTTGTAAACTGAATACAAAATATAACCACATAATCAGATAACCTGATAACCAGGCAAGTGTGAGCGATCCAAATATGTTTTGTACCAGCGTTAAATCACGATGCAGAAAATGAAGGTGGCGCCATTCGCGGACCGCTAACCCTCTCTTCGTCGATTTGATAGCATCCACCCATTCGCTGAAGTCACACAATAGTTTCGTTCCTCAACTTTTCTGGATAAAACTTGTTAAACTATCAAAACACAAAATTGCTCTCAGAGAAAGAGAGAAAAACCAAAAAGTACGGGAAAGCTTTTCGGGTAAAAACTGGTAAAACTATATATTCAGGGGCGCACCCAGGAATATATTTTTTTGGTATATATTTTTATACTTCTGAATATATATTATCAGCAAATACTGCTTTAGATAATACGCTTTTTAAAATACATTTATGCAAGTTTTATGTTCACTAGGTATGTAATAAAAAAAACTTTAAGTTTCATAAATTGCATTTTATTTACATAAAATTAAAACTACATACATAAATTGACAAAGAACTCAAACATTTTTAACCGACTTCAAAAAAGGGGAGGTTATCAATTCTTCGGAGTATTCTTTCTTCTTTTATGTGTGCCACCGTATAGCTTTGGACCGCGTGAACCGGTTTCAATATTTTTTTTTTTATCGTAAAGAAGGTACCTAATTGGTAATTTAGTTTAGGTCTGATGATTGGATCATGAATAAATTAACGGTACTCCTAAATTTGTATATGAGAATTGAAGTCGGTTGTATTTTTTGCTTAAAAATTACATACTTGTGTAATAAAAAGTTCTATAAACACAAGCTGCGCTCAACTTTCAAAAGTAATAAAAAATGTTATTAAAGAATTTTAATATAAATAAATTAATTAATTCCATGAAATTTTTACACTTTTATGTTCATTTTCCTCGATTTCTGGTTTTTAGTTTTCGATGGAGATGGTGATTTTTACAATTGCTCCATTTCTTGAATATTTCGAATACTCAAAAAATTAACTGAACTTGTATTTTTATTATGTAGCTTATTTTTGTAGAACGAATTCGAAGCTGGCAAACTAAATCTTCTAATCCTTGTTAAGTACATATCTGTGGTAAACTCTTTTAGGCTGTAAAGGGTAAAAAACAACAGTAAGTGAGTATGCATTGCATACTTTTAGGCCAATGTGTTCATTCGCAGTTAAACTTTTAAAAGCTCCCAAGACAAACGAAAAACTCATGTAAAATGACGCACAAGAAAGGGAAAGGAAATTTTCTTCTATCAAAATTTCTGAAATCAGTTTGCAGCTCTTAAGAAAAAAATGCTCTTATATTTATTTCTTAAGGAAAGTTTGCTTTTCAAGCAACAGAAATAATAAAAAGTACTACTTGTGATTTTTTCGAGAGCTAGATTCCAAGCATTAAGATACAGTTTGTAATTGAGGTTATGAGCTTTGGGGGGACGGCTTTGAACCCCAAAACCCACCCTTGTGTGCGCTAATGTATATATTATACGCATATACACAAACAAATTAACAAAAATACTTATAAAACTCGATATTACTTCGTTACGATATATTTAAAAGGTGAAAATTCAGATGGAATTTTGTTTTTGCTTATTCAACTTTCAAATCGTTAGAACAGCCGATGGCAGTGCACGGACTTTACCACTTTATTGGTAGATCTACCAACTTTTTATCTGTATTTTATTTTCTAAAATTTTTACGAACAAAGGCTAAAAATCTACCAATATTTTCCGGAAATAAAGCAAAAAGATTTAAATGATTGCAGTGTATACACACATATTTTGTCATATAACTCTGACAATGACCAATTTAAAAGTGAAAGTGCATCTCTATCACCTGTTTATGGAAATATTTTTCGGTTGCAATACGTTTGTGTGGGAGACTGCTAAATGAATGGGATGCTAATTTCAAGCATTTCAAAACTAATTTTAATCAAACAATTAGGGGTAAAATTTGCGAAGCCCAGCAGAAAATTTCGAAGCAAAAAAATTTCAGCAAAAAATTTTTAATTTCATTAGAAGCACCCTTTGTTTACTTGCTTTTTTAAATGGTTGCATACATTTAGGCATATGCATACCCAGCCAGCAAAGAAACGTAAATTTTGCCGATAGTGAGTTTAGTTCAATTTTCCGTATCCGAAAACGAATTTAAAAACTCCTACAGTATCATCAATTTTCGTATGCGGAAAACGTTCGAAAAAGATGATGTAATTTGAAAGCAATAATTGTATTTTATTTGCTCAAGCTAAACATTTGAAAGCATGCATGCGTAGTTGCCAGTGGCCAACCACCGAAAAGCTGAAAACCGATCCGAAAAAGGGCAAAAAGTGGATGAAGTGCGAATTTTTGTCGGTTTACTGAATCCATTTTCGGATACTTTGACGTTCCGTTTTCCCACTAAAGTGTCCGGCAGAAACCTATGCTGTGCAATGGCGCATCGCGTAGTTCCTTCCTTTTCCGCTGCAACCTTTGTGCATTTTTAGGTGCAGTGATACGAAAAATTTTTTTGGTGACGCATTTCCGAACGTTTTTATGAAGTTGGCTTTTAATATGGTTTTAAA